TTACTGATAACAATGTACAGGAAAATCAGTTTTAAGATCAGTGCCTGAGAGACAGTGGGAACTGAAGCAATTTGGCCAAGCAGTGCCCCTTTCTCCTCAGGGAGGCAGGGACAGGTAAACACTAGAAAGCCCCACCCACATAATAAAGGATTCAGATCTAACTGCCCTTTTGTGCATCCTTATCTAGCTTGCTAATTGTTAGTGTACTTAAAATGGACCTGGGTATTAAAAAGATACTGAGTGGTTAGTACATTTGAATAAAAGACTCCAACTGGTTTTGCCCTCATGAATATAAAAGTGTTACCATTTACTGTTTCCTTTGTATATCTCAGGTAATTCTGGGTAGTTTTCCTGGGCCTACAACATGTGTAGTTTTGCCAGGTTATGGAGGGGTTTTCATGTCCTCAATATTGTTTGTAGAAGTGAATTGGATTTTAAAATGCCATGATTATTCAAGTAAAATTTTCTTTAGACAATTGCCTTGTAATTCCATGTATTTGTTGGCCAACCAATCTTAAAAAAAAAATAAGACAAGTAGGATTAGAAATCAAAACTTTTAGAACGTGAGTTTGTTATCTTTAGATTTCAGACTTGGAAAGGGTCACTCAGAGTCACTGCTCAGTCTTCATGGCTGCATAGTTTTCAAAGCTTCCTCAGCTATGTAGGTTTTGAATGAGAGGCATGCCAAGGTCTTGGCAAATGTGGCGATGACCATGGTCTAAATGGGTCCCCTGGAAAAGCTAAGCTCATGCTTATTTCAAGTGCCATGCTTTGTTAAATAGTATTTCCTTCCATTCTGGGAAGTGTTATTTAAATGCTGATTGTCTCAAAAGACTTATCCATCATTTTAATGTATCCTAAAGAAGTTGAGAGTGAGAGGAAAGAGCATTGGATAGGCAATGTGTTTGTATATGTTTGATTCACGTCCATGAATTAATACTTCCATAAAGGTTGATTACATATCCTCGAGTGGAGCTTTTATGCGCAAAATGAAAATTATTCTCATGCCTTCTTATTGGGAAAATAAATTGATACCAGTCTTTGCTAACAAGTACACGTTATTTAATTAGCCTAATCTAGGCTATCTTGGAAAGACCTCAGAACTTGGAGGCAAAAGATTTGGAACTTAGTTCCCAGCTCTATTGCTTGCTAACTATATAATCTTGAAAAGTTTATTTAACCTCTCTGGTTCTCAATTTCCCCATCTGTAAAATCAAGACCACCATGTGGTGCCCACTTTCACAAGGCTCAGTATCAAATGAAATAACATCAAAGTTCTATGTAAATATAACCTGATGCTGTTAATGTCCGTATTGTGATTACCATTTTTTTTTCTTTTTTGGTGAGGCAATTGGAGTTAAGTGACTTGCCCAGAGTCACACAGCTAGTGAGACTGAATTTGAACTCAGGTCCTCCTGACTCCAGGGCCAGTGCTGTATCCACTGCGCCACCTAGCTGGCCCTGAATTTTTTATGTTAGGGTTGCTACTGTAGTCTTCTCTGCTACATTTCTTTGGGGAAGATGATCAGTAAGATCTAGGCAGGGTCTTCTGTTTTACCATAAAAGATAGCATTCATCTTAGTTGCTGCCAGTAAATCTGATGATATAAAGGAAGTTTAAAATCCCTTCGAAAGGAATCAAAATGGGTTGATGTTCTGCCCCTTCCACATTGGAAAACTGATAACATCAGGTTTTTATCATCATTTAGGCTTTTTAAAAAAATAAACAACTTTGTTTCTGCAGCTTTGATTGGTTGATAAGAACAGAATACATGTTCCTGTTCTTTAACCTGAAACAAATTTTCTTAAAAATCTTCCTTATACTTAGCTGCCTTGTTTTTTTTCTTGTTTTTAATGGGAGAAGATCAGTGTAAGTCAACAGGCCATTTGATGGAAAGCCTTTTTTTTTTTTATTTTTTTTATTAATTTATTTTGATTTATGAATAATCACTTCCATATGCTTTTGAGTTTAAAATTTTTCTCCCCCATCCTCCCCAAGATGGCACAGAATCTGATATAGGCTATACATTTACATTCATATTAAACATATTTTCACATTAGTGATGTTGTAAGTAAAAATTAAAACCAACAGGAGGAGCCATCAGAAAGAGGAATCAACAGAAGACAAAAAAAAAATAGCAATTCAACTTCCATAGTTCTTTCTTTGCATGTGGATAGCATTTTCCATCACAAGGCCCCTGGAGATGTCTTAGATCCTTGTATTGCCAGGAAGGGTTAAGTTTATCAATATTAGTCATCACACAATGTGGCTGTTATTGTGTACAATGTTCCCTTGGTTCTGCTCACTTCACTCAGCATCAGACCACACAAGTCTTTCCAGGTTTTTCTGAAATCAGCCTGTTCATCATTTCTTACAGCACAATAGTATTTCATCACATTCATATACCACAACTTATTCAGCCATTCCCCAATTGATGGGCATCCCCTCAATTTCCAGTTCTTTGCCACCACAAAAAGAGCTGCTATAAATATTTTTGTACATGTAGGTCCTTTTCCCATTTGTATGATCTTCTGGGATATAGCCCTAGAAGTGCTATTGCTGGGTCAAAGGGTATACACATTTTTATAGCCCTTTGGGCATAGTTCCAAATTGCTCTCCAAAATGGTTGGATCATTTCACAACTTGAAGGAAAGTCTTTCCAGCATATTTTGAACAGAATATATTTATATTCTCTAAGTGAGAAATCTTCAAGGTAAAGCATGGTTTATTGGGGGAAATAAAAGTGCTGGACCAGGGAGTCAGGAGACCTGAGTACTAGTTTTAACTCTGTTCCCAGGATTGAAGTCTCACATCCGATACATGCTGACTATGTGACTGTAGCAAGTCACCAAATATTTCTAGGTTTCAGTTTCTATATATTTCAAATCAGCAAAAGAGAAATTAAGTTTATGTTTTGTGATGGATATGGAGGGCCTGTGTGTGTATGGTTAGGGACTGGACCCGTGATTTCATCAGTGTGAGCAACTCTAGGTGTGGAAATTCCCTTCGTTGATCCAGATCAGCAACTGTTCTGCAATATCTAGTATCAGAGTTCTCTGGGTGGACTAACAGGGTCAATTCAGACTTGCCCAGAGTCACATAGTGATAAAGTATCAAAGGCATTATTTAGACTGAAGTCTTCATGACTCTGAGACCAGCTTTCTATTCACTATATCATGCCCTCCTGAAACTTAAGTGAATTAAAAGTAATTTAATGTTAAGGATATTTTTAGATATTTCAGACCAATGGAGATAAGGTGTACCCATGTTATCTAATTGATAATTTTATAATTTATAAATCTGAATAAATTATATGAACCTATGTTGGATTTATATTGTATTGTATTGTATTATATTGTATTATCCAGTACTGTACTGGTTGCTAGGCAACACAAGTGAAGTATATAAATCAGTTACATAGATTACTGACTCCTAAACCAGTTTTGTGGAAGAGTTTTTTCCACTTATCTCTATTGGTCTGAAGCTATAGTTACAAGAATTTCAAAATATCCTTAAAATTATATCAATTTAAATTCACTTTAATTTCAGGGGCAAAATACATAATTTATACACATATACATGCATACACAAATACATACATACATATGTATACACACACACACACACACACACACACACACACAAAAACATACCCATATCTACGTACATGTATATATACTGTCCAAAAGAAAGTATGGTATAGTGGGTGGAAAGCTGGTCCCAGAGTCATAAAGACCTTGGTCTAAGTCCTGCCTCTAACACATTACAGTTGTGTGCCCATGGGCAAATTATGTGCCCTAGACAGGTTTATAAGGTTGTAACTTACAGAACAATTGTCCATCTGGATAAGTGGAGGGACTTTTACATTTGGAATTCCCCATAGTAATGAAATCATGGGTCTGCCCAATCTCTCTCTCTCTCTCTGTCTTTCTGTCTGTATGTCTGTCTGTCTGTCTCTCTTTTATTTTCTCTTGCTTGCTTTCATTCTCTTTTCTATCTGCAGTATAACATGGAATGGTGGTATAGGCAGGGAGAGAAGATGGGCAAATTGAGCAAGCATCCCTAGAAAATACAGAAATCATGGCCTTAAGTGCTTAGGGTCTGGGAAGAGAAGCAGCTGGATTGGGATTTGGGCATGTTTTCATTGTTATATGTCATTTAAAACTTTTAGAAAAGGATCACATTTTAACCCTTCTGTGATGTAGAGGCTGCTTTAGAAGTTGTTTTGAAATAAAGACAACTTCAGTTCAAGTCCCAATTCTGCCACATCCTGCCTGTGTGACCTTGGTGGCTTAACTTAATCTCTCAGTCTCTCAAAGACTCTGTGAGTTATAGTTACAGAGAAGGATGTTGATATACACTGGTAGAGGAAGTCCTTCATCAGTTGGACTTGCTTTACCTATACAAATTAAATCATGAGTCCATTGACAAAACAAATATTTTAAGATTTTTCAACCAGGTCCAATTCTAACTCCCAATTTAGCATAATCTTGAATTGGTCCATTCTAAGATTCATCCCATTTATCTTGATGCCAACCCAAGGGTTCAGTGGCATATTACATGGTGACAAACACCAAATGGAATTTCAAAAGTTTGGAAATCAGTTATACATGTGCCTTAGAATTCTTGGAATGTTTGTATTCATTCCTATTTGCATCTTACTATTTGCCCTGTAGCGATTCATTTGCATCTGACTTTGAGTCTTCCCTTCACCTCCCTCTCTCTTTTCCTTCCTTTTTTATATCCTACTTTTGAAGTGTTGAAATATTGTATTTTTTTTTCTTTTTTCTTTTTTTTTGGCTAGGCAATGGAGTTAAGTGACTTGCCCAGGGTCACACAGCTAGTAAGTGTTATGTGTCTGAGGCCAGATTTGAACTCAGGTCCTCCTGACTCCAGGGCCGGTGCTGTATCCACTGCGCCATCTAGCTGCCCCAAAATATAGCTATCTCATCTATACATGACCTTACAAACCCAATGCTCTTTCTCTGCTTTATTAACAGACAAGAGACGACTTCCTTGGACAAGTGGACGTTCCTCTTAGTCATCTCCCGGTAAGGAGGTTTTAATTGACCTGTGTTTTATGTGATTGGAAAAAAGTTTTTAACTGAGGCCTTTTGATAAATTGTTTGAATTTTGGGGAAACATTTCTTATACTTTAGTGAGGAATGGAAGGTAGGATGAGAGAGAGAATCAAAGTCTTACTTGCATTTTAGAAAGGTAAGAGAAATTCTCAGCTATAAATGGAGGTTTGGTTTATCACTATCAATTACTCCCAAAATTCCAGTCCATTCTTTTTTAACTGCTCTTCTGTATTTCTGGCCAGGCTATTCTGTGTCCCAGATATTTGCTCTTTATTATTGTCCCATTTTTCAGTAACCTCTCCCTTAATTCCCAAGAAACTGGGGAATGAGGAGAGATAACAAATTACCTGCCTTTGCTCAGACTAGACAGAAAGTATATATCTCATTTTTGCTTTCTCTTGAGATTAGTTTCTGAAATTGGTGCGTCTCTATTGCACCTAGGCATTTTCTAGCCAGCACAAGCAATCACAACTCAGGGCATGGACAGAGCTTAGTGCTATAGAAGTCACTGCTCTCAGCCTGATTAAGAAGCATAGCAGTTGAGTCTGCAGAGTGATAAGGAATACTACCCAAAGGTTCTGTAAGAAAGAGGACAAGAAGATCTTGATGAAAGAGATGACATCTTGAATTCTAGTCTCCTTCCTCTGTCCTATTCTCCATTCTACCTGTAACACAAAATGGTAGTTTACATAATGAAGAGTATAGTATAGGACAAAAAAGTCATTGCTTTGGGGAGGTGATTATTGTTACCTTTTAACATCACCAGTCACCCATCTTCTTCATTATCGTTGGCATCATTTGCAATGACAAGTATGTGTAGGTGGAATAGATTTTCCACTAATGAAACGGTTTTAAAACAGCTAATGAGAACTTAGCTACTGGGTTGACCTGAAGGTCTTCTTACCAGACTGAACATGCAGGATAGCTGCTACCAATGAAGGCTTCTAAAATATCTGAAAGAAATCTGATAGCAAAAATTTTACTAAGAGGCCCTGTTAAGAAAGAAAGGTTTCATATAGATGGTTCTTTCCAAGCAGCACAGGTTGTATAAAAAAATCTAAAGCACTCAAAGGGCATGTGTGCTTTTGAATGTGGTTGTTTTTTTTTTAATTAAACACGTGATATTTGAGTGATAGCTATAAAATAAACATCTCATAAGAAAATGGTCTCAATACTTTAAAGGCATAATTTGTGCATACCTATTTTAATATTTATTATTTATATATTTTTATTTTTTTTATAACCTTGGGACTGCAGTGTGAGATGTAAATTTAATTGATCAAAATATGTATGAATTGATAGGTTTGTAGACACAGAACTTCTTAACCTGGGCTCTTTTTCTTTTTTTCCAAAACCAAATTTGCTAGTCATGTTTCGTTATGATTGGTTTCCTTTGTAGTCCTATATATTTCATTTTCTGCATTTGAAAATATTATTCTGAGAAGGGTTTCATCAGATTACTACATATTTCAGTGATACATAAAAAATTTTCAGAACCCCCACTTTAAAAGATCTGTGATTTTACCAGGGTGGATATTTCTTTACTCCAATACTAGTTGTAGCCTTTCCATGCCTTAGGCTTAGACTGTGGTCTTTAGTGAGTATTGTTATAGCTTTTTGGTGATGAGCTCCTCCTTGCTCAGCCTGGTTCTTAGAGGACAGGCCACTTCAAAGCCTCTCTGTTAAATCCAGCAAAGTTTGTATCCCACTTTGATGAAACATCAGAGTGAGACACTCATGAAAGATTTCATAAACAAACATAAAATCTCTTTGCTATGGATTAATTTGTAGTAAGAGTAGTATGATTAAGATTGCTCAAGCTGTCCTTTTCTTGGCTAGTACCAACATACTAGTGCTGTGCAACTAGATTAGGCTCGTAGATTTAGTTGGGGATATTTAGCAATCAATCAATTAACAAGCATTAATTAAGTGTCTCTATGTAGCAATGGTATGTGCAAAAAACTCCTGGCCCTCCCTCATGGGTCTTAAATTCTAATAGGAAAGACAACAAGTACGTGAGTAGGTGTGCACAAGACATGTACAAATCAAGTGTCAGATATCCTTATTGGAGAAGGCACTAGAAGAAGGATTTTTAACCTGCAGGAGAGTCTGTGAGCCTTTCATTCATTTATTTATTTACTTAATTTTAGTAACTTTCAGCATAATTGATTTTCTTAATATTCTTACATATATTATTTAATACATTCAAAAAACATTATTCTGAGTGGGAGTCCATAGGCCTGCCAAAGCAGTCCTTGCCACAAAGAAGGTTAAGAATCTCTGTAGTAAAAGATGGAAAGAACAGGAAATCTCTCTCATAGGAAGTGGCACTTGAGAAGAGTCTTGATGGAATCCTGGAATTCTATGAGGAGATGGAGATGGAGAACATCTTTTGTTAGGAACGTCAGATTTGGTGGGGGAAAGTCAGAAGAGGAAGATGCTACTAGGGACAAGAGAGGGATGTGGAAATATGATTTCAGGGAAAGAAGATATGAAGAAAGCACCCTGAACCTTTATTTAGGAATGCTTGATTGGCCTAAGTTGCTCAGATATCAAGATTGGATCAAGTAGTTCCTGAGGGGAAGAGACATATAAATTCTAAACTATGTTAGTGTATATTCACCTCAATCCAAATATCTGCCCTTCTTGGAAAAGAGAAATAATCCCAAAGTAAAAAATCATAAATGCTTCAAACTTATCACCTTTCTATTACTGATTTTCATTTTATCCTGTTCCTCATCTGTAGTTGTGATCTTAATTCCCAATATGCAGATCCACTCAGAAGAGTATATATGTTTGAGGGGATCTTTTTCTTCTTAAATTATTTTTTCAAATGTACTGAATGTACATCAGTGTTTGTGAATTCTGTTTCATCTAAGTAATAAGCTATCCTTTGCTTATCTCTGGGCTAAAGGGATTCACTGTGATGAAGGTACTCTTTTCTGAGTACCTTTTGTCTGCATCCTCATGGAGCCTTCCAAAGTATCTATACTTTGCCTATTTGGGTACTCACCGTACCATTTTATTTACGACATATCATAGTCTTTTGTATCATATTTCTACCAAGTTGACTACTATTGAAATTTTAAAAAGAACAAATTATTTCAAGAAAGATGGACTTTTAACTTCTTCTTTCACAATAAAAGATCTCCATCCCCAAAAGATAATCTTAGACTCCTAGATTACTATTCCTAGTAATAAGTTACTTAAAGTGTTCTGTAAGACAACAGATCAAAATTCAATATTAGGAATTATTTTTATTAATTTAAAAATCGTATTTTATGTTTTTTTAAAAGAAGAATCCTAAGGTTTCAAATCATTCCCTTTTTACAAATAATAGTCAATTAATATGTTTTTCTCTCCCTTGATCAGACACCAAAATAATCTCTCATAGAAATTCTAGTAGTGCATTGGCAGAGTTAGCACTGTGTATCAGCATTTGCAATGCGAAACTCTAGATTGCCATTCTTCATAATGAAACTTTAAAGTTGAACCATGTTTACAGTTATAAACTCACTAGCCCAAAGAAATTTTTCAAAAATGCAAGTGGACCAAGGCGTTTCCACACCTTAATGGGTTCACTTGGGAGCAGATTCTTTTGTGGAAGAATGCTGACTAGTAAGCACTTTGGCATTTCTGCAGTGGGGTGCATGAGTTCTTCTTTAGCCTCCTGTACTAATCACTGGGGACCTGAAACTCATTAGATACTCTGCTAGCCCTTACATACCATTACTTGAGATTCCATTTTGGCATTCTACCAGTAGATGAAAATGAATTGAAATCTAAAGTGTTATCTATACATGATCTGAGCTCTGGTGATCTGGGGAGGGGAAAAGACTCACCCACATGGAAATTTATTCTATTCCCTAAACAGCAGTAATACAGAGTTGGAATGGGAGGTGACTTTTTTCTTTATTAAGAAATTAATTAATTTATTAATAAATTTACGACATTAGAGTTTTCAAGTGCTAGCAATAGCAGAGGATGGATTTAGAGTTGTATGGGGCCTGAGCAGTCATACAGTTCAACCTCTTTTATTGATGAGAAAACTGAGATGTTTTAGAGAGGTTAAGGGACTTGCCCAAGGTCATGAAGGTAATAAGTAATAGAACCAGAACCCTGAAGCAGAGGTCCCCTCTGCACAAATTCAAATTTTTTCCATTTTACTAAGCTGCCTTCCCTCATTGAGATCTTGCAATGCCAGAAATAGGTCCCATCTGTCTCCTTATTTTACTTTCCCTCATGTTCATTTTTTTTTTGAAGTTATAGATGACGTTTCATTTGTTGAAAGATATCTAGAAGCCATGACTTTGTACAGGAAAAATCTTAAACACTTAGGTCATATAAAAATGAGAGATATAAATTAAAATTTATTAAAAAAAAAACTTGACCTTTTGTTCTCTACCCCAATGAGATATCTTCTTTAAAATGTCTTTTCTTATGGGAGTGGGGGTTGGTAGTAATGCGGGATTCCTATTAGTACATTTAGCTTCTCATAAGAGTCTACAAAACCTAGAGGACAGGATTTATATTGTGAACCACTTGAGTTTCCAAAACAGAATTGTATGTATGGGAGGAAGAAAAGAATGTGGCAATTGGAAGGTTAACATTTAAACAAATAAACAAAAAGGAGAGTACTAGCCTGGAGTCTAGCACTGGATTGGAAACTAGTAGGCTGGGGTCTAATACTAGCTTTGCTATTATATTATGTCTGGGGCTGTCAAACTTACCCCAAGGTTGATGAGGCCTCAGAGTCTCAGTTGCCATATCAGAAATACAACCCTTGGCTGTCTCAAAGGGTCTTTTTGCCAGAAAGCTGACCCCTCCAGCCAGTAGCTACCAAGCACAGCCACAGTACACAAGATAGACGCCCACAGAGACGGAAATAAACACAGCATGTTAGACTTAGATACGATGACTAAAGTGTAGTAGATTTACTGCCAGCTGAAGTTTTTAACTGTAGACAGAGTTCTCTTGGCACTCTTATCACCATCCTAAGGGTGGTTGTACCATTAGAGATATTCAGAAAACCATTGTTGTTACTAGAAGAGACGTACAGAGAAATCTCTAAACTCTCAGCAATTCAGACATGCTCTTCTGGAATCCCAGAGTCTACCTAGGTCTGAAGCACTGCTCATAAACAACTGAAATCTGCCACAACGGTTTCACAGTAATGGCCAGGCTATTAACTGTCAGGATGAGTTTCCTTCTTCTTGTTCTTTAAATGTTCCCACCAGACACTGCCCATCATGGCAATGCAGCACAGTAGGGATGGGAGAGGGTCAATGCTCTTCTTGATGAGGTCTAGAGGTTTAGGGGTGCTGGGACCCTGAGATCACGACATGCAGATCCTGCCCGAAAGAATTCAACCCAAGTCTTCTTTCTGCCAAAGACATGGTTTATTAAAAATCTGCCACATTAGCCAGACTCTTAAGGAATCTAAGCATCTATGAGCTATTGGCTAGATTGTAAAAATCTGAGCAGTGGCTAGATTATAAGAATCTGAGCATCTTCATAGAGACAAGATGGACCTTATATATAGAAAGACTGTGAGAGGGATCTAGGAGTGGCCAAGTAGTTTGGGGCGACTGGAGGAGGGGTCTAAGGAGGATCTGGTTGGGAGTGGCCAGTAAGCTGGGGTGAACTGAAAGGCTAGGACCTGAACCACTTGGCCTAGGGAGAATGGAGCCTATCTAGTATTAAGGGTGGGAAATGGCCTGGGGCCACAGGGAGGTAAAACAATGGAGGACTAGGCTAGGTTAAGGATAACAGAGAATTGGGAGATTGAGTTTAGCCACAGTGAAAGGCCAGTTGATGGTATTATAGCTTCAGAGATTTGGCCACGTAGGAAAGGCCAGGGTTTTTCCTTTTTGGGGTCTAGATCCCAGCCTCATCATTCTTACCATATAGTGTTGACCTAGCTCCCTGCTCCAAGCTTTGTCATTATCCCTTGGCAGTTGTGCTAACCTGAGTGACCCTCAAATGTGTGTCATTTGACCTCCTTTGGCTTTAGTTGCCTGAGAGGAAATGAGAGAATTGATCTCTATAATCTCTAGGATCATTTCCAGCTTTATAATTCTATTAGGCTATTTTATACTCCTGTTTGTCAACTCTTCCACAGAATTAATTTAAATAAACAGGAAGAACTTAGTGTACTTAGCTCCGTATTATGTTCTAATCAGGTTCTAGCAGAGGAATACAAGAGAGATGTTAACCTAATAAATAAGTTGAATATTTGTATTTCTTATTTTGTATGTTATCTCCTCATTTGTTTCTGATATATTCTTTTCTTCTCAAGTTGTTGTGCTCGCATTCTAAGGAAACTATTCTGAATTCTTGTTAAATAACATTTTTTCCTTTTAGTGTTGGAGGGGCCTAGACTAGAGTCCTACTTTTTGCTGTTTCTTCATGGAATGTGGGTGATACTTGCTTCTCAGAGGCTATCTATTCCCATGGAGTATAACCTCTAATTGGTTCTATTAAACTGAAAAGTCTTCGTGTATACAAATTATATATATGTATAACAATTATCAAAGGAACAACCTACCTCAATATTAGAGGCTTATCTACAAAAGACTGCCTACTGGGTCATACGTTTGTTGGTCACAGTAGTTTATGAAACCATTTGCTTGGGTCTGGTGGCATTGCAATTTATTTCAGTAGAGTGACATGGTCAGACTTCAGCATTAGGAAGATTATTTTGGGAACTGCTTGGTGGATGGATTGGAGATGGGAGATTTTGGAAACAGGGAAAGAATACTTAGGAGGCAATTATGTTAATCTAAGGCAAGAAGTGATGAGCACCTGAACTAGGGTAGAAGTATTGTAAGCGAGAGGTATTGTAAGTTGGGAGCAGATCCAAGTTTGTCAAGGTATAATTGACAAGATTTGGCAACTGATTGGATATGAGGTATGAGGGGGAGAGGGATTATGCTTAAATTTTAGAGCCTTGGTAACAGCGAGGGTATTATAGCCATCAGTAGAAATTGGAAAGTTGGAAGTTACCCAAAGTAGCTTTAATTGCAAGTAGGCATGATGGTTTGTTATTGGCCGCTAAAATGCTGAAGTTTATCAGCTATGTTATATTGAGATCTGCATTCTATAGTTAAAAAATGCATTTGGCAGTTTATGTACAATAATTTAGACATTGTGTCTTTGTCTAATATCTACTGTTGGGGTTAATGTTAGGGCCTCAAGTAGATGACGTCAGTAGTGATATTAATAGATTTACCTTAGGTAGTCTCCTGGTGAGGTCTTGCCTATTGTTTCTAAATGTAGAGAAACCAACCACATTTATACACTTATAATAGGAAAATTCATGATCTAGCTTAATAGATCAAAAATGTAAAGACTGTCAATTTTCAAACCTAATATGCTTCTCATGTCTATAGACTGAAGACCCAACCATGGAACGGCCCTATACGTTTAAGGATTTCCTCCTCCGACCAAGAAGGTGAGGGCTTATTTTTGTTGTTTTACATGTATGCAGATTTCAGTTTACTTAAATTTTACTTTTTCACACAAGTAAATATAGTCCACAAAAACACAATTGTACCCAAACCTTTAGTAACTTGTCTTTTCTCCCTATTATATAGTCATAAATCCCGGGTAAAAGGCTTCTTACGATTGAAAATGGCATATATGCCAAAGAATGGAGGACAAGATGAAGAAAATAATGATCAAAGGGAAGATTTAGAGGTAAGACCCTTTGCTTTATGTTTTCTCTATTGTTGTTTAATAATAATAAAATAGCTAAAGTGAATTTAAGGTTTTTTTCAGAATACCTCATTTCAGAAATATGAACAAACATATTGGCATCCTTCTGTTGGAATTAATGATGGCTACCATGTTCAGACATATTAATGAGAATATGTTACAGTTCATTGTAGCCTGCATTGTTTATAAAATGTAAATATTCACCACAAACATTTCTAATGTTTTTCTAGTATAGAACTGGGGGTTAAGGAATTATTTTAGAATTGCTTGCACCTGTAAGATTTTATATTGTTTTCTTTTACTATGTTACTACATTTGTGGCATAGTAGATTCAGTGCTTGACTTGGAGTCACAAAGACTCAAATTCATATCTTTCCTCACACACTTACTATGTAAACCCCTACCAGCCTCAATCTCATCATCACCTGTAAAATGAAGATAATAACAGCTACTTCACAGGTTGTTGTAAAGATCAAGTGATATATTACATGTGTTGTTGTTCAGTCTTTTCAGCTGTGCCTGACACTCCATGACCCCATTTGGAGTTTTCTTGGCAAAGATACTGGCATGATTGTTATTTCCTTCTCCAGCTCATTTTACAGATGAGGAAACTGAGGCAAATAGGGTTAAGTGATTTGCCCAGGGTCACAAAGCAGGTTAGTGTCTGAGGCTGGAAGATGAATCTTTCTTACTCCAGGCCTGGCACTCTACTGAGCCACCTAATTGCCCATAAAATACATATAAAGTGCTTTTAAAACCTTCAAGTTCCATATAAATGCTAGTTGTTGTTGTTATTGAATATAAAGGGAAGATTAAAGACATAATGAGCCATGTCTGATCAAATGACCAAATCTTGAGTTTAGACAGTGCCCCTTTGGATATCAGAGAATTTCAAAACTTTGTAGAGTTTACTCAGTTACTTGTGCCAGTGAAGTCAATACATTTTTTGTGACAAAATGTACATTTGTATCAGATAATTTTGTTGCTGTTTGCCAATTGCACAGGTACCAGATAATAGTAATCATAAAAAGAGTTTACATTTAGAGAGCTTTCTTAAATTTCAAAGCATTTTGTTACATTATCTCATTAATACCTCCTTATTGCTCTATCTGAAATTAAATATCTTGACTGTAAGTAAGATTTTTAAAAACCAAGTAGCCCTTTTATTTTATAGAGTTAACTTTTAAATTTTAATGTAGCTACCATGAACAATTGAATAGTTTTCCCACTGTGAATTTCTTTCTTTCTTTTTTTAAGATAGGATTACCCAGGTTTTGCTCCTTCCCACCCCTATAAGGGATTTGGAAAGCAAACCTATTCACTTAATCCCATCATGACTTGAAGATTTATCCCTTTTAAAATCCCCTCTAACCTTTGGGATTCATTCAGAGTATCTTAGAAGCATTAGAAAATCTCTCCCAAGTTTCTTTTTCATTTGGCACCCACATGTGAGAATGCATTAGATGACCTTTCCCTAGGAAAAACCATTTTGGAATTAACTGTCCTGATAAATTTTTCTATTCTTTCTTATTTTTTTTAGTGGGGAGGGGAATGAGGATTTGAAGAGGGAGAATAGGGTGGGTCCACCAATGCCTTCCCATTATTCACTAAGAGCATTTTACCTTTTTATGTGCTTTTACATCTTGAAAAGACTCTCTCAGTCCTGTTTTGTTAGGCAATTATTCCTCTGCTTCTGACAGTGGATGTTAATCAAGGCCTAACTATTACTTGGTCTGCCATTTGGGTGCAGCTGTTGTATTATGTGAATAATGTGTTATGGGCATGTTAACAGACCCCTCAGACTGAAAAGCCAAGTTTTGGGCAATATTTCACTCACAAACTTTCATCTCTATGTATAGTATATGAGGAGAAAAATGAACAAGTGGGTGGTAGACTGCTCTGAATTTCAAGACACCATAAGCATGTCAGCATATTTTCATTTATTATTTTAAATCCAGTAATTTTTTACACTCTTCTACTTGTCTGATGGCAGTAACCAACATATTAATAATTTTACAGTGATTTTACTCTGGGATATTAGGAAAGGAATACTTAATGCTAAAAATATGTATTGTAAAATGTAATTTTAGCTCTAAGGCTAGGCAGCCTGATTGTATGGGGGCAATGTCATTAGAATAAAGGGAGACAAGTATCAGTTCCCAATCTACATCTGGCTCCAGGGATGAAGAGAAACCAGCCATGAGTGTGGTAGCTCCTTACCTAGAAAAAAAGAATATTAAGCCTAGAATATATTTATTCCTGGCCTTGCCACTGATTCATTTTAACCCATGATAAGATTTCAGGCAAATCACTGACATCTGCAAAATGGAGATCTTGTTCACCATTTTCATTCATCATTTAAAGATGTTAGAATATGTATAACTATCATAAAAAAAAACCCATGGGTGTCATGTTAGTGAAGCTCTGATGAAAGCCACATAGGCCTTCAAACAAAAAGTCACACATACAGTGCAACAATGAAATAATGAGAATAATTTTTTAAACAGTAACATATGATTACTTTAAAATATTTCAAAATAGTCCCCTTAGAAGATTATTATTATTCCATTTATTCTAATGAAGCTGTTGTTACTTAAAACATTTCTGGCATTTCTCTTTTGGGATGGCCTTCAGAATCTGTAAAAATTTATTAAAATCATATTTTGTTGAGATAAATTATAAGTAAGCACATCAGACTATCTGTGGTCTTGCCTTAGGCCCTGCTCCTTGCTGGCTGTGTGAGGTTGGGAAGTCATTGCTCTTTTCTATAAAATGAAAGAAGTAAATTAGATAATTCCTGTGGTTCCTTTCAGCTTTAAAATTACTACAAATTTATGTTTCATAATCTCAACCAGGCCCTCACTTCAGTAAGGCAATCATTTTTCACCTCCTTAATCAATTTATTATCCCACTCACTGCAGGAGCTGTTCATACATTCTCATCTCTCCTTAATCCCTCCTAATCAAATTTCCCTTCATAATTTCAGCAAATGGCCTTTTTTTTTTTTTGGAGAGGTATGAATCATGATTTTCCTCTACTCTGTTTTTCTCCCCTCTTTCTCATCTCACATCATTTAGATGTCTTTCCCCACTGTCTCCTCTTCACCTCTGTCTTTCATGTTTTTCTTTTTTGCCAAGGCAACCCTATCTATACACACCTTTGATCCCATTCTGTCCCATCTTCTCCAACCTATTGCCCCCCTCTATCATCCTCATGCTCTCAATCATTTTTAATCTTTCTCTACTTGCTGCTTTCAAACATGCTCACTTCTCCTCTATCATTAAGAATCCTCACTACCATCCCTGCTAGTTTCTGTCTTATATCTCTTTTACCCTTCTTTGCTAAACTCCTTGAGAAATCCATCTACAGTAAATACCGTCACTTCTCCTCTCACTTTCTTCTAAACTATCCACAATGTGGTTTCTGGATTCATCATCATTCAGCTGACACTGCCCTCCACAAAATTACCAATGTTCTCTTATTTTCCAGATAAAATGGCCTTTTCCTTCACCGTCCTCCTTCTTGATTGATCTTCAGTGTTGCTATGGCTGATCACCCTCTTCTTCTGCAGATTCTATCCTTTTTAGGTTGGTGTGACTCTGCTCTTACCTGACTGACCATTCTTTCATAGTCTCCTTTGCTGGATCTTCATGGACTGTCCCCCATACCTGGAATGCTCTCCATTCCCCCATTCACCTCCTATTTTCCCTGGCTTCCTTCAAGACTTGGTTCATGTCCCATCTTCTGTAGGAGGCGTGTTCTCATCTTCTTTCATTAATGCAAGTTCTTTATACTCAAACAGTCACCCTAGTGCAGACCCTCATTACCTCCTGCCTGAACTATTGTAGTAGCCTTCTCATTGGCTTACCCACTTCAGTCCATTCCCCAGACTGACTGTCACCCTCTCTGATCAAGGTAATTAGGGGCCAAAGTGGATAGGGTGCTGAGCCTAGAGTCAGGAAGACCTGAGTCTTCACTTAACTAGCTGTGTGACCCTAGGCAAGTCACTTCACCTCTATTTACCCCAGTTTCCTCAACTGTGAAATGGGAGCAATAATAGCATCTGCCTCTCTCTCAGAATTGTGAAGATCAAATGAGATAATATTTGTAAAGCTGTTAGTAGGCACGGTATAAATACTCATTCTCTTTCTTCCTCCCATTCAGTAAACTCCTATTAAGAAGTGCTCAGTTTTGCTTTTCAAACTCTTCACAACCTCACCTTCTCCTACCTTTTCAGTATTCTCATGCTTTATTCCTCTCCAGTGACATTAGGCTTCTCACTTTTCTTCACACACAATGCTCCATCTACTGTCTCTGTCTTTTTAGTGGCTGCCCCCCATACCTGGAATGCTCTCTCTTCCCACCTTCACCTACTATTTTCCCCGGCTCCCTTCAAGATTTGGCTCATGCCCCACCTTCTGTAGGAGGCGTGTTCTCATCTTCTTCAGGGCTATTGCTTTCCCTCTGAATTATCTTTCCCTTACACCACACATTTTGTTTGTAGTTATTTGTGTGTCATTAGAATATGAGTTCCATGAGGGCAGGGCCCATGGTTGTTCCTTTTATCTCCAGTGCATAACACAATTCCTGACACATAGTAAGCACTTAATAAAAACTTGTTTACCGGATGATTATTCTTAATAGCTTCTTTAAAATTAGACCTTGTATAAAAACACCAGGTATTATTTTTTAGACAGTTGGCTTAATGGTGGATTTTATGTTGTGCTTGTGTGTTGTTGTTTTTTTTTTAAGCTGTAATGTTGCTTTCTTATCCTAGAAGCAAAAATAAAATTAACCTTTTAATCACCCATCCAACTTTATTTTATAGCATGGGTGGGAAGTTGTTGATTCAAATGACTCAGCTTCTCAACCCCAGGAAGAACTTCCTCCACCTCCCCTGCCACCTGGGTGGGAAGAGAAAGTCGACAATCTAGGCAGAACTTACTACGTCAACCACAACAACAGGACCACCCAGTGGCACCGACCCAGCTTGATGTAAGTTCTCTATGTCTATGGGTTAAAGAGCATGCCCTTGGTTTGGACGGAAATAGAACAACGCATGGCACCTCTTTGAGAATAAGGCTGGGACTTAAATCCAAGACCAGTAACACTCACAGGTTTTTAATGTTCTGTGATCCTTTCTTGGCTCACCAAGTTAAGGTGAAGAGCCTCCAAGCAAATCACACTATATGCATTCTCAGAATAATAATTTTGGTGTCATAGTGTTCTTAGGAAATCTTGAATTGGATGATGAACCCTTTGATAAATTGGCATTCCTGGATTACTTGGCATTATTGGATTAATGGAATGGAAAATTGAGCTTATGTTTCCCAGATTTAGTAGGCTATGTTGAATAATTGCTTTTTCCTCCTTGACCCCAGTCTTGGTGACTGACCCTTAATCCAAAGTGGCAAAACCAAATAACTTTGGAATCTTCTCCATTCATTGAGCCTGTGCTTACCAGCATGGAGGAAAGGGAAGGGAGAGGATTTTTTGAGACCCTATCATTACTTGATTTTTACAAACCTTTCCAAAAAAGACCCATGTAGCATATGCATGTATGTGAAAGTTCATAGATGTGTGTGTATAATTAAAGAGAATTATGTTTTTAGAAATTTTTGAAAATTTTGCATTTTCATCTTGGAGGGACACTGGATATTTCTGTTCTAGGATAGTTTGCATATGGAAAGTGCTTAATAAATGTTTGTTGGGTTAAATCACTGCTATAGATTAATTTCATTCTTCATTTGCCTTAGTACAATAAGTTTATCACTATCTAGCTTACTTTGGTGCTGGTTCTGGCTCTAGATATGATGGATCATCTTAGCTATTCAAGGTTGAGTTGAACTGACACTAAATAATATTCACTGCAAAATTTTCTTTAAAAAAATAAAAATGCAAATAGTTCCATTAAAGTCCTATTTACTTTTCTCCTGTGGCTAATGGACATAGCTATTCCCATTGGTGAATCATTTTCCCTTCCTTTCTACATAATCACTACTAGACAATTAGCTATTAAAACCATTTTGAGGAAATACTTATTGTTATTCTAGCCTAGCTTTGAAGTATTTTGTGCAGATGCAGTAGTTTAAAGAGAAGAGGCTTAAACTGAGGATCCCCATCTTCTTGTAAGAATGGTTTTTTTGTAATCAAATCAGTCTTTATGAAGACAGAAGTTGTGTTAGTTGTAAAATCAGAGAGCAACACACAGAAGAATCTATTCTACTGTGAAATGACGAGCTTGATTCAATAATCTATTCACGTCAGACTCCTCATCAAATATTTTAAGAACTTGAGGGCAGAAAGTTGTCATTTATAGTCTGGAAAGGTTTGAGTTCACATTCTAGAAGATTCCCAAGTCAATACTAGTAGAAGCATGAAATGAAGACTTGTTAACTCTTTGAAGACTTTTTGGTTTAGGGATGAAATTAAGAATGGTAATAAATTTGGGAAAAAGTAACACCTCAGTCACTCAGTGTCCAGGGGTGAGGAACCTGGGGCACGTGTGGACCTTTAGGTCCTCAAGTGCGGCCCTTTGAGGAATCCAAACTTGTTTGTTCTGTGGAGTTGGGATTCTGTCAAAGGGTCACACTTGAGGACCTAGAGGGCCATATGTGGCCTGGAGGCCACAAGTTCCCCACCCCTGGTCCAGAGGACTGGAAAGGACTGGACTGAAAGGCAGAAGAATTAGACTCTTGTCCTGGTGCATAGTAAGCGCTAAATGAATGCTTGTTGTCTTGCCTTGTCTCTGCGTCTTATTGTTCATATACCTTTAAGCAACTTCCTTAAATTATCAAAGCTTTGGTTTCTTCCTCTTTAAAAAAAAAAAAGAAAGAAAAGAAATGAAGATCCACATACCCCTACATTTCCTACTTCATGGAGTTGTTATGTCAATTGAGATAATGCAGGTAAAAGGTTTGTTTTTTTGTTTTGTTTTGTTGTAACAAAGCATTATACAAAAGTGAGGTAGTACAATTATTTTTCAACACAGTGCTTTCTTTAGTGATTGGGAAAATTGTGCTTCCAAAATCTTAATCAGAGGTTCTGTGTTGTGTTTTTTTTTTTAAAGCTACTGAAGTTTAAATGTATTAGTCAAACTAAGAAAAATGAATTACATAGATGTAACCCCCTCACAAAACAAACCAAAAATTTTTACCATTTCTGTGGTAGAAGCAAAGAAAAATATATTTCTTAATTCAAGTTCAGGTTCATCATGTTTATTCATGATGTTGAGGAAAGGGGAAGGGTAGAGGAATAATTATTTATATAGCTTCTACTATGTACCAGGCATTGTGCTAAGAGTTTTACAAAGATTAACTCATTTGATCTTCACAACCACACTATGGAGTTTTTATTAACTCCATTTTGTAGATGAGGAAACTGAGACAAGCAGAGATGAAGTGACTCACCCAGAATCACACAGTCAGTAAGTGTCTGCAGTTGTGTTTGAACTCGGGTCTTCCTGACCCTGGGCCCAAGGCTCTGTCTCCTGTACCATCTAGCACACGACTGCAGGCTCCAACAATAAAAATAAAGGGTGGGCCTGAGCAGAAGCTCCCCCAAAATACTAAATGGGAAATGGATAGTCCTTCCCCTTTTCCACCATTCCTATGCAAGAGAAAACATAAAGGATATAGGAGAAAAGAAGAGGTAACACTTGAGCCAGCTCAGCATGCCACCTCCCCTTGACTTTTGAAGGAACCATTACTAAATAACCAGGGCCCTCCCAGAAGAGAAAACATTTCTTTCGCCTATTGTAAACATGCATTACCCAAAAAGCCTCTGGGCTTCCTGGAATTTTGTTAAACATGCTGGCAGTAATCTCCAAAAGCATAATTCCAAGCAATAAAATATCCTTTGGGAGAAACTGGTACAGCTGAGCACTTGATGTCTATTGAGGGAAAGTTATCTTTGAGAAAATGAAATTAGTGAGGAATCATTCATTTGGTGTCCATAGTGCAGTGGAAAAAAAACACTGGACCTAGCTTCCAATTTTCTCTCTGCCACTAACTAACTTCATGACTTTGAATGAATCACTTAATTTTTTCTGAATTTCAGCTAATCACTCCAAGCCTTTTGAGTGTGTTGCTTTTTTAATGGTCTTCAATGATCTGAGGTCAGATTTGAACTCAGGAAGATGAGTCTTCCTGACTCAAGGCCCAGCACTCTATGCACTATGGCGCCACCTAACGGCCCATTTAGTTATTACATGCCCCTATTTTTAGATTGTGCTGCCTCCTTGACCACCTTCTCTTAGATGGCCAGGTGGTGCTGTTGGGTAAAGGGTTGGGCCTGTAGCCAGGACAACCAGAGTTCAAATTTGGCCTCAGATACTTACTAGCTATGTGACCCTGGGCAAGTCACTTAACCTCTGTTTGCCTCAGTTTCTTAATCTGTAAAATGATAATGGCACCTATTGTTGTGAGGATCAATTGAGATATTTGTAAAAAGTGCTTAGCACAGTGCCTGGCGTAGATCAGGTGTTCAATAAATGCTTATTCCCTTCCACCTTCTTAAAATCCTTCAAGTCTCTGTTTAGGTTATACTTCCTCTTGGAGTCTTTCCTGATTACCTCAGTGGTAATTGCTGTGTTCCTCCTGAAATTACTTTGTCTTTAATAGCATATGTGTTGTATCTCCCTGGAAGAATGTTAGTTTATCTGAGGGTAAAGACTATTTTGTTTTTGCCTTTGAATTCTCTTGGACTCATCACAGTGCTTAATAGTGTTTTTTTGAGTTAAATTGATAGTGAACCTGCCTTAGGACTAAAATTTCTGGGTTTATGTTACCCATTATAGCCATGGGGAATTAGCTATAACTTTTACTCAGCTTTCCTTAATGTACTATATAAACTCTTACATATACAAATAAATATAGTACTGATTATAATATAGTTAGCATTTAAAAATATGAAATATTATGAGGTCAGATGGGAGATCCCTAACTGGAATACTGATTTTATTTTAACCCTTTTTGATAGCTAGATTTCCAAAATATATCACACATTTTCCTGCCTTAGTATACAAAGTAAATTAAATATAATTAACATTTTCTTGATAACCTAAGGTCATTATGATCTCTTATAGTCTATGGATTTGGGTGATTTGGAATTTAATTTGTATTAAGCCTAGTCAAAGCTGTGGATCTTAGACTTTTCTTATTTTGCATTATAATTAACAGAGTATTATGTATTTCTGTTTGCCATTAACAACTTGCTCAACTTTAAATTCCACAAGATCAAGGACCATGTCTTAATTATATTTGACTCCCTTTCATACACAGCAAAATGATTCCTACACAGCATATCCTTAAAAAATAGTTGATGTGAATTCTTGGCCAGAATTTTTTCCTTTATTATTCTAAACATAAAAGCATCATCAAAAGAGCATTTCTGTATGTACACACACATATTTCCATTTTCATTTCCACATACACAAATTTTTGCAGATTTCTATATCAAACCATTATGAATCTCCATTTTATACTACTTACTTCAAGAAAAGTGTATAACAAATTCTGCACCTTACTTGCAAATTATATTGTAAGTGCTTCTCATATCACCTTCAGTTCTCCTTTGTGCATTAAAAACATTGTTACAATGGCCTTCTTTTTTGAGGGTGATGGCATCCCTCTTGCTTAGCCAGAATTTTGACTGTCCTGTCCCTTCACCAAATAGCCAAGTTTTTGCTGTGGAGATGGACTGTTGTATTGGAAGGAATGCCAAATTTGAATTCAGAAAGCCTGTGTCGGAATACCAGCACTGAGACTGTATTGGTTTCCTTGGTGAGCCTGAGCAAGTCACTGCCTCTTATGAAGTTTTCCTCATCTGTAGAAAAGACAGGATTCTACCGTGTGTAAGACCCATTCCAGCTCTAAGTCTTATGAATTTGCTTTCATAATAAAATCTAGATTTCTGGTTCATTTTTGTCGTTTGTCTTGCTGATAAGATGAGACTGAGGAATATGTATATTCCTGACTTCCTGGGCAGTATATAAA